CCTACAATTGTAAAATGAAGGAGTTGGACTAGATTAGCCTCTAATGACCCTTCCAGCTCTAAATCTATGGTAAGGAGCCAGGTGGCTCAGTGGATAGAACTCTAGGCTTGGAATCAGGACAGGCCTAAATTTATATCCAACCTCAGACATTAATTGTGTGACCCCAGTCAAGTCACTTCATCTCTCTCTAGGTTTCCTCAAATATAAAATAGGAATAATAAAAGAATAGCACATACCCCCCAGGGTTGTTGTGAGAATCAAATGAGATAATATTTGTAAAGTGCTTGGCATGGTTCCTGGTACAGAGTAGGCAGTTAAAAAGGCTTGTTCCCTCCTGCCTCCAGAATGCTGTTTTCCCCCTTGACAATCCAGCTTTTTTCCATAGGAATTATTTAGGTAGAAAGAGTTCACATTGAATCTCATTGAATCCAATTTCCATTTAGAATACAGAACTCCCTCCAGGGTTAGTTCTATCAGTAATCCAAATAGGTCATAACCTAACTGGTATGAATTGAAATAAATAAGTGTGTGTGTATGTATGTGTGCTTATAGTATGTATAGTCAAAACTATGGTTATTCCAGTAGTAATGTGTGTCTGGGAGAGTTGGAGTATAAGGATGATAAGAATCGATGCTTTCAAATTGTGGTGCTGGAGAAGACTTTTGAGAGTCCCTTGGACAGCAAGGAGATCAACTCAATCAATACTTAGAGAAATTAACTCGGGCTATGCACTGAAAGGACAAACACTGAAGCTTAAATACTTTGGCCACATAATGAGAAAATGGAAAAGACTCTAATCTTGGGAAAGATTGAAGGCAAAAGGAGAAGGGGACAGCAGAGGATGAGATGGCTAGTGTCATGGAAGCAATGAACAGGAGCTTGGAAAGACCTCAGGAGATAGTGAAGGGCTAGGCATGTTATGGTCCATGGGGTCATGAAGGGTCAGACACAGCTAAATGACTGAACATCAACAACATTCATCAGATAGTAAAAACAAATATTAGATTAGTTTACCAGGGATCTAGAAAGTCCTTGAAGGAACAGGACTCAGGATGTGTAAATTTTGATAGGGGGAAAAGTTGGAAATAGAGAGGTTAATAGAGGGTCCTAGGAAATGAGGGACATTGGGGAGATGGGTAAGTACTTAGCACCTAGAGGTTTCCTTGAGCATACAAAATGGACAGGGAAGGAAAGAAGAGGGGAGGGCTGAAAACAAATTTTGCCTAATTGATGCCTGATGAGTCCCCTAGACCACAGCTGTCAAACTTGCAGCCAGTCAGCCACATTAGGCCCACAGCAATCCCTAGTGCAGCCTGAATCAGATTAAAATGCAATTGGAAGTTGTTTTTAAGTAAATAAAAATACAACAAAACAGATAATATTAATGTGGTTTTCTAAGTCAATACGCAAGCTAGGAAAGATCCTGGCATTGCTGGGACCCCAAAATCACAACAAGCAGGTCCTGTCCAAAGAATTTGACCTTAGCCTTCTTTCAGCCAAAGACAAGGTTTATTAGAACATCAGTCACATTGGGCAGACTCTTAAGGAGTCTAGATGTTAGTGAGCTATTGGCTAGATTGTAAGAATCTGAGCATCTTAATGGAGACAAGATGGAATTTATATACAGAAAGACTATGGGAGGGATCTGGGAGTGGCCAAGTAGTCTATGAGTTAATAAAACTCCAGGGACCTGGAATACATAGCCAAAGGAGAATGGAGCCTAAAGAGGATTAAGGGTGGGAAGTGGCCATGGGGAGGTAAGACAATGGAGGGCTAGGCTAAGGGTAACAGAGAATTGGGAGACTGGGTGTAGCCATAAAGAAAGGCCAGTGGATGGCATTATAGTCTCAGGCAAATGCCAGAGATTTGATTAAGGTGGGAAAGTCCAGGCTTTTTCCTTTTTGGGAGTCTAGATCCCATCCTCATCACTTACATACACATTCAGTGGCCCCTGTTTCTCTTTGAGCTTGACACCCCTATACCAACCTCTTAATACTAGTTTTTCACTCCATTCTTATTATAAGAAGAATTTCAGAATAGAGAGAGAAAGGCTTTGCACCAAACTCAAAAATTGAAAGTAGCACCACACTTCCTGAGGCCTCCCTAGCCACCCCCACCCCAGGCAATCACAGATGATTTAGCTACAGGTCTTAAATGTGAAAACAGTCAGATCATCAAGTGCTTTGTTCTATTTCCTAGAGGGCATATCTGATGCAAGCAAGTCCTCCTGGCTTGGCTTTAATCTGTTCTAATTCTTTGAAGATTATTTTCTCAGTTCTTCTCCTCTGCTCTAGCACTGCATTCAAAACAAAACAAAATAAAAACAACCATATTCCCTTTTACACATCTCTCAAGAGAGAGGTTTGTTGAGGCAAAACTGCAGCAATTAATTGTAGGACACTGGGCTAATCACTTGGGCTCTGAAAACCTCAGTTTCCTCATCTGTAAAGGTAGGGGCTATTATTATTGTACCACCTGCTTGGGTGAGTTAGCAAATCTTAAGGCAGGGATTCTTAACGTTTTTTGTGTTACGGACTTTTTTTGGCAGAGTGGTAAAGCCTCAAAAAAAATGTAAATGCATAAAATAAAATACTTCAGAAACCACTTTATATTGAAATAGCAATTAAAATATCTTTAAAAATAGGTTCACAGGTCCCGAGTTAAGAGCTCTGAAATCCTACTTACACAGGAATTATGTACTAACTGAAATCCTTTCCTCTCACTCCCCCCTCCCACATTATAGATATTCTAACAATGCTTTTAATTTTAGCAAGAATGAACAACTTCAGATCCAATGTGATCTTTTATACTCTTCCCAAGCTTCACCACTCCAGCAGATCTTTATCCGAGGTCATCCTCCTAAAGGGAAGAGTGCATCTTCTTGCCTCCACAAAAACACGGGCAGCCTTTACAGCCTAAACCCAAGTAGCTAGGATCCAGAAGCAGTTGGTTTCAGGAAGGAGTAGGCCTAATTGTTCTTTAAGTATGTCAAGTCCTTTCTCCCCTCCCCCACGCCAGCCCAGTGTGTGCCTGCGCAGAGCCAGAGAGAGCCGCTGGTGCCACGCACACCTCTGCTTCCACAATGGCTAGGCCTTTAGCTGAAGACTCCTGAGACTGCCTTAGTTCCCCCCTTTCCTTCCTAAAGAGAGGCTGGACTGGCAAGAATTCCTTCTGTGAACGCCGAGGCTCTTCAAAGCCACTCCTCCCTCGGCCCCGCAGCTAGCCAGCGTCTGAATCTGACTCCGCCTGCCTCACCCCCAAAGCCGAGGCCGGATCTTTCTTTCTTTCTTCTCTTTCTTTCTTTCTTTCTTTCTTTCTTTCTTTCTTTCTTTCTTTCTTCTTTCTTTCTTTCTTTCTTTCTTTCTTTCTTTCTTTCTTTCTTTCTTTCTTTCTTTCTTTCTTTCTTTCTTTCTTTCTTTCTTTCTTTCTTTCTTTCTTTCTCTCCCTCCGTCCCTTCCTTCCTTCCTTCCTTCCTTCCTTCCTTCCTTCCTTCCTTCCTTCCTTCCTTCCTTCCTTCCTTCCTTCCTTCCTTCCTTTCTTCTTCACGCGCTATCTGCCCAAGCCACCCCTAAAGGGTCCTGCCCACTGTAAACCCCGCTGCATGTGGTGTACTGAAGGGGACCACAACAGTCACCTGAGACCAAGCGGCAGACAGATTGATTGCGTCGGCACTAAAGGGAAATCTCCAAGGCTCTTTACACCGGCAGGTACGCGCGGCTTAAGGCTTTTGATTAAGTTCCTTTAACCCGGCTCCGCCGACTCACTTCTCCAGCACCTTCAGATTTCCCCCTGCAGCAACATTCAGGAGAATGGCTGTCCCTGACAGAGGGGTGATCTTCAGAATGGATCTCTTGGCCCAATTGTGCAACCAGTCTGAAACATAGAGCTCACTGCCAATTTCCCTAACAGCTTGTCCTTTCAGGGAAGGTTATAAAATAGCAAAAGGTGTTCCTTGTGTCGCGGGGGGGGGGGGGGGGGGGGAGGGCAGAACTTAAGTTATGTTCCTGGAGGTTATAACAAAGAAATAGTTGCAAGACCATTTCGGAGTTAACATGCTTCAAGATTAGTCTTGTTAAACATTTGCAAGGGTACTGAATCTGTAGTCAGATCTTGTTTCAAATTCTGCCTCTGAGGTTTGCTTGCTACCTGGGTGAGTAGCTCCAAGCGCTCATCACTCATCACCCCTTGCCTCGTGGACAGCTCCAACTAGATGTTCCATAGGCATCTCAAACTCAACATGTCCAAAACAGAACTCATTATCTTCCCTCTCTTCTGACCTTTTGACATTATTACTATTACTATCCAGATCACCACCATCTTCCCAGTCACCCAGGCTCACAATCCCAAATGTCTTTCCACATTCACTCACCCCGCATATTCTTGCCATTTTTTTAAAACCTTCTCATCATTTCTATTTTGTGTCCTTTTCCCTCCACTAGCTTAGGGGCAGCTTTTGTTGTTCATAGTTTCAGTCTTGTCTGACTCTTCATGACCCCATTTGAGGGTTTTCTTGGCAAAGTTACTGGAGTGGTTTGCCACTTCCTTCTCCGGTTCATTTTACAGATAAGGAAACTCATGCAGACAGGGGTAAGTGACTTGCCCAGTTTCACACAGCTAGGAAGTATCTGAGGCTGGCTTTGAACTCAGATCTTCCAGACTCCATGCTCTGTATCCTAGCTACCCTAATTAATACCCTATGTTCCTAAATTAGTCCTTAAAAGTTGTGAAAGAAATCCCTTCAGAAGGGAGGTGCCAGATTCTGGAGAGAGAGGAAAAACAGAAAGCCAGACCAGGAAAAATTAAGCTGATCTGTCCTCTAGGAGGACTGGAAAGACAAATAACTAAAGATAACATTGGAAAGAGTCCTTTGATCTGGAAATAAGTTAAAGAACCAACTGGAGAACAGTTGCTTTAAGCAGAGATGATAGGATAAGAGATAATCTAGCTATTAATCAATATTTATGGTTGTAGTTCAGTGTCTGGTCCAGAGTATAAAAGGGACTCAGTCAACTGCAGCCTTCCTAGAGCCTAACTCCTCTCTGGATTCCTGAGCACGATTTTTGAAACTTAGCTCTTAAAATTTTTTTTAAGCCACTTAAAAATCCTCGGTAAGTTGACATTCCTTTTCTGCTCTAGTTTTGGGGAGGGATGTTTCATTTTGTACTGAGACCCTTTTTACTGGCTGTTTCTTGTTTTCACACTCCAGATGAAGTCTCCCTGATTCTTCCATGGATGGCTTTCTTTCTGCAAAGTGCCTCATACACTGCCTCTGCCACCCTGGACATTTGAATTGATTAAAATTATTTTGAATTTAGCTGTGGTTTTTATGCCAGGTGTTTGAAATCCTGGGTGCATGGGCATTCATGCTGCCTTTTGTCTGTCTTTGCTGCTTTTAGGGGATCTCTGTCCTGATAATGTCCTCTATTAAAATTGAGTCCGTGGTTCTGGACAGCAGCAAGTGTGGAGAATCTCCAGTGTGGGAGGAAAAATCCAACAGTCTGCTGTACGTGGATATTCCATCCAACAAGATTTTCCGATGGGATTCACTCACCAAGCAAGTGCAGGAGATTACTGTAGGTGAGGGGATTCTTTATCTAAGAAACAGCCCATTATAACAGCTAACCTTTTCTCCTAAAGAGATGGCCTGAATACAAAGGCATATCTCTGGATTTTTCTTCCTAAAAATGTTGGATCTAGTTTATTTTAAATGGGAGTTAAAAATTAATCTGCCATTTGTGCTGGGTATCACTATTTTGACCTTTTGGTAAGATCTGTGGATTATAAACAACTGTTTTCTCCTGCTTTCAGAGGAAGAGACTCAAAGTTTTTAATTTTGAAGTTACTTTATATCCCAAAGAACTCCAAAAGCAAGATCTTGTCTACATGGTAGATCTTCAGATAGTATTGATTTCAGCACCTGATAGCAGGAAAATCCGAGTTCAAATCCTACCTCAGGCACTTACCCTGGCCAAATTAATTGTTGTCTGTCTCAGTTTCCTCATCTGTAAACTGGGCAGCTAGGTGGTGCAGTAGATAGAGTGTGGGGCATAGAGTCAAGAAAATTCATCTTCCTGAGTTCAAAAGTTGTATGGCCCTGGACAAGTCACTTCACTTTGCCTCAGTTTTCTCCTCTGTAAAATGAGCTGGAAAAGGAAATGGCAAACCATTTAGTACCTTTGCCAAGAAAACTCAAAGTGGGGTTACGAAAAATCGAACTAGAATGAACAGTAACAAACTGGAGATAGAAAATAACACCTAACTCCTAGAGTTGTTGTGAGGATAAAATGAGATAACGTGTGTAAAGCACTTTGCAAACTTCAAAGTTGTATATCATGCTAGTTATTATTTGTGTTATTAATACTGCCTTTATTGGTACAGATCAGTGGTGCCAAACTCAAATAGAAACGGGCCAGGAAGCCTATATAAGTATTCCCATGGGCCACATAATTGACTTAGTCTTAAAATGTAATGTTATCTATGTTTTATTGTCTTTTTATTTTGTTAAAAATTCCCCAGTTATTTTCATCTGGTTTGGTCTCTCTACAGGGCCCATGGGCGGCATCTTTGACACTTTAAATTTCCTTTTTTTAAATTTTTTATTATGAGCTATAACAAACATGGATATTTTGGTACAAAAAAGAACAGAAGAGAATTGTAAAAGTATAAACTTCTCTTAGATGCAATTAAAAAAAAAGAAAGCTGTGTCTCCTTCTGAACTTCATTCTCCTCCCTTCTGTGCACTTTGTTCATTGATGCTGTTGTATTTCTTTTCTCCTTTTTAAGTCTCACTATCACTCTTCTCCTCCCACCTCCTACCAGATAGAGTCCTAGGAGTATGCAAAGGGGTACCTGAACCTCTCCTTGCTTGTCCTTGTTGAGCTCCATTCTCCTCTGGGTGTTTCCCATAAGTCCCCCATTGAGGATTTGGGGTGCCTCTTCTCCAGTTCTCTTAGGATCTGAAAGGTGTTAAAAGCTGATTGTTAACCACCATTCAAATCAACTTTTACTTGTTGTGGAGGAGCCTCAAAGATGAGCATTGAGATACAAAGAGAGTTGTGACCAATTCTGTCCTCTAGGAATTTACAATCCACTATGGTGAGTGTGGAATTTATGCACAAATCTCCTTCATAATACACAAATCCCTTTGATTCTAGTGAGAGTAATTGACATTTATCTAGTGTTTTAAGGTATGCAAAACACTTTATGGGCAGTATCTCACTCAATCCTTAAACCACTTTCTAAATTAGATGCAATTATCATCCCCATTTTGCATATAAAAACTCCAAGTTTAGAGAAGATAAAATGATCCTAGGTCTTCCTTGGGCTAAGTATTTGAGGTGGGATTCAAACCCAGTTTTCTTCCAACCTCAAGTCTAGCAATCTTTCCGCTTTCCATGGTGAGTAAAAGATGTAGAGCTCCCGGGAAAGGACTATGAAAAAATTGAGGGGGAGGGAAATGGAGAGACCCAGAAAGAACTCTTGAAGAAGGTGACATCTAAATTGGGTCTTGAAGGAAGGGAAGGACTACAACCCATGGAGATAAGGAGGAACTTAGAGTCTGAAGGGGAAGGGTAGAGAGGAATGTGTGGAAACCCTGAGAGAATTGGGAATGGACTCCTTGACATAAGGTAGATAAAACACTATGAGATTAGGTGGTAAAGGGACTAGATTAAGGAAGACCTACAACCTACCTGGGTTGGGAATTGATTTGGCAGGCTATAGTGGAGAGATTGGGAAGTTTATTGAATCTTTTGAGTTCTTTGTACTTTTTTATTACTCTCCTTCATTGTAACTAAAGGAAAGATTTAAAGAAGAGCACAGTCTCATCTATTTAAACTATCGGGTCCAGTTGCCACCTTTTTGAAGTCCAGATATATCCTTCCTTAGCAAGATGTATTGAATTTATAAAAGATCTCTTTTTCTATTGAGCTCCCAAGGTACTTTTAAGTATGATTAAATTTATACTTATTTGATTTACATAGAGCTTTTCCAGAACACATTTATTTGGAGGTGGTGAAAGGGCTTGCAATTTTATGGCCAAGGGAATGAATGTGTGTGAGACAGAGACCACTTACTCAAAAATAAAAACAAAGACTTGGATACCTTGAAAGTAGAAAGGAGTTTATTGCTTTCTCATGAGAAAGGGTACCCTCTTACTTACCATTGCAGGCCAGGAGAGTACGAGTTCCTTACAGAAGTAAAGGCTTATTTATACCCTAATGCAAGCTCCTCCTCCCTAACACCCTTCCCCTTATCCCATTGGCTGGGCTTTCGGGGGTACAATCTATTCACCGAGACACAGGTTTTCCCAGACACATGAAAAGGGGGAAGCTTTTCAAGGGCAAGCAGTTCAGGTTGTGGGCAAGGGTATTCTTTCTGAATAGGGTCTGAGTGGGGGAGGGTTTTGAAAGCAACAGTCAAGAACTATTAACAAGAACTATTGACCCTCTGAGGAGGCTTCACTTCTGAGAGATGATCTCTCACAGATGCATTTGATTCGTGATGGTTGATGGGCAGGTAGTGAAGTGGATAGAGTCCTGAGACTGTCATCTGTCTGTGCCTGTAGTCACAAAGAGAGTAAGGGGGCAGAGCTGGAACTCTGACTCTGAACCAGTCAGTGCTCAATAGTAAGACACTAAAGAGGTATTAAAATCTCTCTGAGGCCAATGAATGAGAATGGGTCTTACTCAGAAGAATGAGTTGTTCTCTGCAAGTTGGATTTCAGTCAGAAAAAATTAATTGAAAAGGATTCAGCTTTATGAAATCTGCTGGTTTGCTACTTTTCTCAAAAAGCAGAGCAGTAATAGCTTGTGTTTATATAGTATTGGGGCAAGTAGGTGGCGAAGTGGATAGAGCACTGGCCCTGGAGTCAGGAGGACCTGAGTTCAAATCCGGGACTCAGACCAAACACTTGACACTTACTAGCTGTGTGACCCTGGGCAAGTCACTTAACCCCAATTGCCTAAAAATAATAAAAAAAAGAGTTGACTCATTTATATAGTACCTACTATATATGTATAACTGTATATAGTTAGGCACTAAGTGCTTTATAAATATTATCTCATTTTATTCTCATAACAGCCCTGGGAGATAACTGCCAATATTTTCACTAATTTCATAGTTGAGGAAAATAAAGGTTAAGTGAGTTGCCCAGAATCACACAGATAGTAAAGGTCTACTGCTGGATTTGAATTCAGGTCTTCCCAGTATACTTTCTGACCACCTAGCTGCTTGTCATTTTTTAAAGCTTGTGTTATATATTTTCTTAATTTAAAAAGTTTTTGTTTTTATTTTCTGTTTATCCATTATTCTGAATGTGTCCCTTCTACTTCCCTCCCAAATGAGCCATCCCTTGTAAAAAGATTTTTTGTGAGGCAATTAGGGTTAAGGGACTTGCCCAGAGTCACACAGCTAGTGAGAGTTATGTGTCTGAGGCCAAATATGAACTCAGGTCCTCCTGAAGAGGCCAAAAAAGACTGTTCAGCCACACAAACCAACATATGGACTCTTTGTGATGGTGCGTGCAATATTCAATGCCCAGAGTGCCCCCCCTTTGCAAGGAAGGGGGGGAAGATGTAACATTAAAGCACAAAACTGAACTATGACTTGTGGGACACCTCCTATTTTCACCTGAAATTTGAAAATCAAAGTTATACCCCATGATGTGTTAAGTTTGCTATTGTCCTTTTAATGTTGAGGGCCAGCTGGAGACAGGCTGGCATTTGTGCATGAGTGTGCACATGCATAGTGACGTCCTTCATTAACTTTGACAGTTATAAAGTGTGTCTATGTATGTATGTATGTATGCTTAAAAATGTATTGAAAAATATTAATACTATACTCTGCATTTAGGTGCAAACCTAATAGAAATGATTTTTATTAATTTCTCAGTAATCTAAATTCCAGCATTGTCTGCTTGAGAGAAATGTCCAAACAGTTCTCTAGTGTCCTCAGACTTCCCTCTAACAAGATATTTTGAAGGAACATGGGAATATTAAATGAGGCAAATTTCATAACGTGATAAAACATAGTCATGTAGTTTAAGGTTAATATTTTACTTCATCTGAGGGAACAATAGTCACATCTTTCAGGAATGATCATGGAAAATCGTGTCCTTCAAACCATTTAAACCCACATGATACCAGGGCTCTCCTCCGATGGTCACAGGTGACCTGAAGTAATTAAAGAGACTTCTTCCCTCTGATCAGTATGTTAATCCTTGCAAGGGAGGGGAGAAAGATGTACAGCTCTTAGGTCAGTCTTCAGGGGGATCAATTTAGAGCCCTTTGGCCTTGTCTGGCAGTTCTAATTACTTCAAGGAATCCAAGGAGAGCAAGACATTGTTTTGTAGTCAATAAAGATTGATAAAGGTTTCGGATTAGTCCTAAAGCTTCAGAATCAGATCATTTTAAAATGTTTTCTTAATATTTCTAAAAGTAGGAAAAGGGCCTTTGCTTCCACACATATATAAGTATGCCTATCTACATAAAATAAAACAAAAACATAAAATATTCTGGAACCAAGGAACTCTCTAATTCATCCTAAAGCAGATTTCTGGACTTGAGCAAAATTTTAAG